CCGCAAACAATCTCAGTGTGCCTGAGGAGCAGATTTGAATTCTCTAGATACTGTTTAACTTAGGATAGAAGCATAGCCTCAAAAAGCACCTAGGCATGAAGGTTCAATCTTAAACTTTAAAAACGTGGTTTCACATAACAGTGTTACCTAAGACTCCACCTGTTGAGCTTTTTTCCTTTCAGCAGAGCTTTCTTTTCAGCAAACTTCCCCCAGATGGAGTTTACTTCAGATGAAGCAGATGGAGTTTGCTTCAAGCAGAGCTGCCTCCATCTGCTTTACATGAAGCGTTCCTGAACACTGAGAACCAGAGAGAAGCTCCAGAAAAAATTTAAATTATTTTGACAAATCTGTCTAATCAAATCAAATCTTATCTATTGTCTATAAATGATAGAAATCCCTAATTAAATCCTATTTTATTGTATTGCGTTGGCGATTATACAACCTACTGCAATAAAACGCAATGAAAGACAGCATGTTTGCTTTTGAAGGTGTATCATAAGGCTGTGGCTATGATTGGCTGTACCTTTCTACTTACAGTTAAGACTTTCAAATCATCCCAGGCTCTTCAAGTGGCTAAATGCCAAGATAATATCACAACTGTTTACACAAGAATGAATCCAAGAATTTTTGCTGTTACAAGCAAATTGTGACATGTCTGTGAACGTGATGCAGCAGACTCTGGATTAGTCACCAGTGTATTTTCCCAACTTCTGTGCAGCACAGAAGTCGACTCCGATTTGATTGTTTGCTTTTTCTTTTAGTCCAAGTCAAAACCTGATGTTCTTAAATACTCCTGAACACTACTATGAAGCATAAGCATTTCCACATGGTTCCACATTTCATGGAATGTCTAAAGGTCAAAGGACGATGCACTTTGACACTGAATTTCTGCTGACGCCCTAAAGATTTAGTGATGCTATTTCAAAACTATACTATAAAATATGATGACTCACAGATCATAAAAGCATAAGTCTTAATAAACAGGTACACGATAAAAGGTTAAAGGTTACCAAAAAGCAATGCGATGAAAAAAATATTTGTCCCGTACTGATTTCTTTTTTCTTTTCTTTTTTTTTTTGCATTTTGGTCACACTTACATGTTTCATCGAACAAATAATAACATTAGACTAAGATAACCTGAGCAAATAAAAATGGATACAGTTTTTAATTGATGATTTAATTTATTAAAGGGAAAAAGTTATCCAAACCTACCTGCCCTTATGTGGAAAAAGTAATTGTGCCCTAAATCAAATAACTAGTTGTGTAACCCTTGGCAACGAAAACTGCAATCATCATTTGCCACGATTGAATTTTGAACTTTGACTAGGCCACTTCAAAACTTTTATTTTGTTTTGGGGTTTTTGGAGCCATTACTGATATGTTTTATTGTCCTGCTGCATAAGCAAAAATTCAAACTGATGGCCGGACATTCTCCTTTAGGACTTTCTAATAAAGAGCAGAATTTATTGTCCCATCAGTTACACCAAACCGTCCAGGTCCTGAAGCAGCAAAGCAATCCCAGACCATCACACTACCACCACCACGTCTGACTGTTGGTGTGATGTTCTATTTATGAAATGCTGTGTTAGTTTTACTCCACATGTAACAGGATTCAAACCTTCAAAAAAGTCCCAGCATTGTCTCATTAGTTCACATCATATTATCCCTAAGGTCTCGGGGCTCATCTAAAGTTTTTCTTTGCCGAATGAGAGATGAGCCCTTGTGTTTTTTTGGTCAGCAGGAGGTTTTCTCCGTGGAACTTGGAACTAACACTGACCTTAACTGAGAGACGTGAGGCCTGCAGTTCTTCAGATGTCGTTCTAGGTTCTTTTGTGACCTCTACAATGAGTCGCTGATGTGCTTTTGGAGTAATTTTAGTAAGCTGGCCACTCCTGGGAAGCTTCACCACTGTTCCAAGTGTTCTCCATTTGTGGATAATGATCTCACTGTAGTTCACTGGCACTCCAAAGCCTTAGAAATTGCTTTGTAACCCTTTCTAGACTGATAGATGTCAATGTGTTGGCTTTTGAGATCTTTTAGCCTTCTTCACTTTATTGACAGGAGCTATTTAAATGACCTCTTGATTCAGGTTTTGATAGCTTTTAACAAGTGAAATTAGCATCTGAAAACGGCATTGTGTTTACTCTGGTTATCTTTGTATAATATATAAAAGTTTGTCTGATCTGAGATATTTAAGTTTAACAAATATCCAAACAACTAAGAAATCGGGAAGGGAGTAAACTCCTTTTGACGATGACACTGTAAGTGTATGTACAATACATTAACAGTAAATAAATACAGAACTCCTTTGGATATGTTGAGTTTCCTACCTGTGGTGTAAGGCTCACTGTTGTTTTGACCACAGTTCTTCATTTTGACAGGCGACAGGCAGAGGGGCTTGACCACCTTGTGAGTGCCCTCACACCAGTAGGAGGTGCAGAGAGCCAGGATAGAGAGGGCCAGAGCCAAAGAGGTCAAGGTGAGGGAGAGCAGGGAGCGAGAGCGACGGGACATGCGTTCCAGCATGGCCACGCGGGAGAAGATGGAGGTACGGGTGGGGTCAGATATAGAGAGAGGAAGGTCAAAGTAAGACAAACAGGGGACAGAACGGGACAAGGCACACGCGAATAGCAGGACAGAAGGTATGAAAACAGCCACAGATGGAGCTGAGAGGGTGGGACAGATGCTTTGTGGGGGTTTTAAGAGGTTATGGGCGGCCAGGTTTAAAAAGAAAACAAATAAAAACGTGATGTAACAGTAAAGAAAGAAGATAAGAAAACAGATGGGGAACAATATTGTAAAGTCAGTGGGATTAATAGAAAGGAAGATAAAGAAAGAGAGAGAGCAGGGAGCACGACAAGATGCTCTGATTTTGATACACGTGGGAAAGAGGGACAGAAGGAACAAAAAAATGAACAAGAGGAGATTTAGGTGGATGATTTGGGCACAGTGGGAGAGAACCGAGGGATTCCAGGATATTACTCTTTGTTGCCCTGACTTCTTCAGTATGAGGAGCGATTGATTCCTGCGGGAACAGATACAGACATGCATCCTCTGAAATCAACACTCGAAGCCCTTTTTTCCTGTATTAGATCAATTCAACTGTATCAAAAAAGCATCTACAAATACTAGAATTTATTAATAAAACTTGTATGTCTAAAGAGGACATCAAAATAGATTCCTGAACTTATTATTTTGCAAAAAAAGTTAAATGAAATTGAGAGCAAGTGAGCATAAAAAAGAAAACAGAGGGTAAAAGGAAATTGCCCATATAATGAAATCTAGCTTTACACTGTCAATCACTGCCTGAAGTCACATAAGTCCTCCAGCTGTTTAAAGGGGGGTTGTGAAAGGCTGAGTAATGTGTACTTTCCTGTGACCCCGGCTAACATCTCTGTGCTTCCTGATTAACGCACTCAAGCCCGAGCCTGCCGCTCATTATAAACTGTGGGCCTTAAGTGGAAGGCACGATGCAGGGGAGCAAAACACTAGATTACTTTTTTGATGAAATTATAGATAAGCCAGAGATCTAAATGAAATTTTACACGTAATCCCTGGAAATCTGCTTTAATCTGTTTTTGTTAGGTGTGTTTTAGTGTGAAGTACACTTTGACCATGTCTGCTGCCAATCTTTCTCTCATGCAATGTCCCCCTGTCAGCTCACAGCCCCTGAAACATAACACAGATTAAATCAGGTGAATGTAGCACATCACTCATCCCTTAGCATGGTTTCTGTCATCTGTACTGCTGGAAATAAAACTCCATCAGTATGATAATACGCTTAATGACCATTGGAGTGTTACTGAGGCAGTTAAAGCCAATGCTCAGCAGAGATAAGGCTTTCCTAAATACTTGCATTGCGTTTATTCTCAGATGTACATTATGTCCTTTCAGAACTGCACATCTTTTAAGCACTGTTTGTTTAGATTACCGCTCAATGCGTCACACCATCACAGAGATGCCAGTTTAATTCATTCAGCACTGAAACAATTACCCCACAAAGCACCTTGATAATCTGTGTGAAAGTCTACCTCTGCATATTACTGATGGTTTAACAGCAGCCAGTGACCAAGTATTGATATTTATAAGATTATGTTTGAAATGGTTACTCTTAGCATGAACCTTACCATGTCGACTGTTGCTAAGACAATAAATATTTTCAGCCTTTACACGTCAGTAACTAGCTGATGCATCATTTTCCAGCTTGCTCAATTTTTGCAGACGTCCATCCAAAATAGCTCGTTCAGTTTTCGTTCACAAATGACAGATTTAATTGAACACTCAGTGTAATAACGACGTTTTTTTGCTATGTGTAAATATTAAAGAAATTATGTTTTTGCGATTGCTGATGAAGAATCCACAAATGACTTCAGAACAAATTATTTTTAAATAAGTAAAATACCTACCAGACTTTGTTCTCGCCCTCTGTAGTCTTTCATGTCCATCATAAAACATATTTCACTGCCTTGCAGTGAACTTACATTGTGGTTTTTCTCTGCCTTCTTGATAAGCCCTTAATCAAAAAGCTCGTTCATAACTTTAGTTCAGCTGCTCCATCTTGAATACCCTCTCTGTTGCTACTCTCTTCATCTTTTCTCTGTGCATCAGCTTTCCTTCTCCAGTGTGAGCATCAGTGGCCCTTACCTCTCCGGCTGCAAGCCCCGTGTAATCCTCCTCCGATGGAGATGCGAACCAATGGAGTGACTGCATGTCTGTCTCCAAGCCACTCTACTCCCTTTACTGTCTTTCTTGGTAATTTATGACACAAACCCACCCTGAATCATGTAATCCCTCTAAGTCCATCTGTTACTATAGTGCCCCCTCTCTTCCCGTGTCTGTCCCTTTTCAGCGGTGGCCTTCACTAACCCTCCCTAAACTTTAAGCAGCAGTTTAAGTTCCACTGCATTACAGCTCTATTTTATTATTTTTTATTAACATTATAGTACCTTATGTACATTTCCCCAGATTAGCAACAGAACAAAAAACAAGAACAGTGTCAAGACTTTTATGATATACACAATAATTTATTTACAGTGTATTTACAAAAAAACCTGTAAGACAGCAAACAGCAAAGGGGAAAGACAACACTATGTTGTCGTGTTTTGAAGTTAAGGATGGGGATAGGAGGGAAAATGTAGTTGTAGAAAGCAGCTAACCCCAGGCTTGAGATTTACAATAATGTAGAATCAGCTTGCCATCACTTCCAAAACACTGAAAGACAAAAAGACGGGAATACAAACGTTGAAGTTAAACTGTCAAACACAGGAGTGAGCTGTCAACAAAGTCTAAAATCAGTGTTAACTGCTGTTGTGACATCAGAAAGGACCTTTTAACTAGATATTGATCTAGCAGTGAGAGCAGAGAGGTGATCAGCCAACCACTGATCTAGACTTTGACGTTTTTACTGTTACTTGTTAAGACATTTACCAGTGCTCAAGGATTTAAGATTATGTCACAGAAGGCTTGTCTCTTATTGCACCCTCTGCTGGTAGAAGCTCTGCATGACCTGTCCAGTCACACAGGCTGAACCTGCAGAAACAGTTAGGTCTAGAAGTTTCATACGTTTTTGGACATTGACCGTTTTCTCCCCTCTGTTAATTTTGCATCTATACTCCACCACAGTGGATTTTAAATCAAGAAAACAAGATGTGATTGAAGTGCAGATGTCCAGCATTAGTTTAAGGGGTTCAACAGAAGTTTTCATTAACTGCCTAGGAACCACAATGATTTTTATACAAAGACTTCCAGAGTAATCACCAGGTGAAGCAGGTTCCCTTGTTATTTAACAACAAATTAAGTAGATAAAAGATCTGGAGTTATTTCCAAGTGTTGAACATGCATTTGGCAGCTTTAACTGGAACTCTCGATAAGATGTCCAAACAGTAGTTTCATGCAAGTAAAGGAACCTTCATTAGGCTGGAAAAACAAAGTAATGCCATCAGAGAGACAGCAAAAAATTTTAGGAGTGGTTAAGTTAACAATCTGGCTCATTCTTAAAAAGGGAGGAATCTGGTCAGGCAACACCAAATGGCCTGAAAAAACACAGACAACAACTCAAGTGGATAAAGCAGTAGCATTGTTCAGGTCCACAAGCAAGAGACCGTTTCATGAATAGAAATATAGAGGCTTTACAATAACATGTAAACCCCTCAAGAACAAGAAGGTCTGATTAGATTCATTTGTATCAGAACAATGGGAAGAGAAAAGTATGGAGAAGGAAAGAACAGCTCACGAAGCATATGACATTATCTGGTGGAGGAAATGCCAGTGGAAGCTGGGCACTGGTGTTTACTGATGATGTCACTGCTGGTAGAAGGAGCAGGACAAATTGTGAAGTGTGCAGGGTTACACTCTCTGCTCAGAGTCAGCTAAATGCTTCAAAACTGTGCAGACAGCACTTCACAGTCCAAATGGATAATGACCCAAAACGTACTGCAAAAGCGACTCAAGAGTTTCTCACGGCCAAGAAATTAGATATACTTCAATAGCCATGTCAGTGGCCTCATGTCAACCTGATAGAGCAGATTTTCAGTTATTGGTTGTGGAGAGAACCACAATGAAGCAGCAACTGGCTGCAGTAAAGGTCAAAACGCTTAAGAGAGGAAACGCAGCATTTAGTGAGGTCTCTGGGTTCTAGAGCTCAGGCAGTCTCTGACTACAAAGGATTTTCTTTCAATTACTAAAAACAATACTTATATTTAAAATGATGTTCATTTGTCCAATTAATTTTGCGCCTCTGACAATGGATTCTGTATTAAAAAAACAACAAAAACAAAAAGAAAAAAACTCTTGAGTTAAAGCTGAAAGTCTGCACTTTAGTCACATTTTGATGGTTTGAGTTAAAAATTAATTGAGCTGATGTACAGAGGCAAAAAGAAGTGTCCAAAGAAGTTTGGACCCAGTTAAATACTTGCCTAACACTAGTGCTACTGATGTAATATTTCAGTGAAGACCAACTCGGTCTGTAACTCCAGACTGTGCGCTATTAAATTAATAAAACAACAGGGAACATAATGTTGTTGATAAACTGTATGTCTGTGTGTGCTGCCCCATTTAAAACTACACTCACATCAAAGAGGACCCCTACTTCTTGATCCGGTGAGGGGGCAAAAGACTGGTTAACATAGATGAACTGAGAAAAGAAAAAAAAGATTTAGTTTTCATAATTGGTTTTTAAATCATGTCCATTATAAGACTTCAAAAATTAACAAGCTGGTAGAAAAAAATGTCATGCTTACTAGTTGTTCATTGGCATCAAGCTTGAGGAAGCGAGATATGAATTGTGAAAGAGACTGTACTGTTCTCCCCCTGTCCACTGCCCACTTCTTTGTTTTCATTATAGGAGTGTCTCCCACTGCCTTCAACAGCACATCGACTATAAAAATGAAGAAAACAAAACTGAAAGTTATTCAACATTGTTGCAACGCCGACTGGCACAGGCAAATCTCAACTTGAATTTACAGTGGAATTTCTGGGAAGGTGCAGTCACTGATGCATAGACACTACATTATACCATGGTGGAAAAACAAAAACACTGTAAAGGCAAACCCTCATCCCAAGTAAACATCTACCTATGCAACTAAGCCAGTGCTGCACAGAGTTCAAAAATGTTACTGTAATATTTTCCCCCAATAGTGTTTTGGTGAAATATCAAACACTCCCCTGTGGAAATTTTAATTTCATATTGCTCTAGGTGTTGTTATTTTTTGTGATGTGTTTAATGTGGAATGTGCATAATAACCGCCTTTAACTTCTTGTCTTCGTGTGCTTTCACATCAGCTTTTCTGAAGGGCAGAACCCCCCCCCCAAAAAAAACCCAAACAGTGCCTAAGCTTAAACATAACCTCTAATAGTAATATAAACAACATTCAACACCCAGATCTAATTCAATTACTAAAATCTAGTTATAAGTTACTATGACCTCATTCATTTGTTTCATTAAATTTTAGGCAGGGTATTGCAAAATTGAAATTAGATGTCTGGCTACATACAGACTAAGCTGTCTCTTTACCTCATTTTAATTTAAATTTCTGTTGTGGTATTTGTGCAAATTAGTCCTGCAAAACTACGCAGGTTAAGTGAGTTATTATCTTTACTTTTCTTATTTTCTTTACTCTTGAATGTTTCCAGTGCAGTAGGTCTCAAAAATGAAAAATATGCATATATTTAACGTTATTTCCGTAGTTATAATTGATATAACATCTGCAAACTCCTAATTTTGTTCATTAGACTGTCTACTCATATTTCTGGTAAATCCAGCAGGAAGGTTGAAGGAAAGTAGCATTTTCTTCCCTTTTGTGACTAAGAAGTTCATGTTAAAAAGTATTATAGTCATTTTATTTTGCATTAGCTATATATCATTCAAAAATAGTTGCTGTTTGTCTCTTATTACCTATTATTATTACTTTCATTAGTATGTTCTTAGTATGGAACTTTGAACTGCTTGAATTGTTTTTTGTAGAACAAGGAAATATTCAGATCTTTTTAGATCAGTCCCAAACTACAGATATTGACTGACTTTTATGGTAAGAGAGGCCAGTGAAAACATCTGGCTTATCTTTTATAGTTTTTCGATGTTCAAACATTGCCTAAGTGAGTATCCTGGGAGTGGATTGATGGACAATTTATTAAAACAAATATATCTTTAAAAGTATTTGATTTATGAAGCTAATATTTTAACAGCAGTGGTTTGTATATATATGAAAACTTTGGAGCTTAACATTTTTAGGCAAATGGAGACAGTTGAGCAGCAAATGTAAAAAAAAATTATGAATTGAGATGGAATGTTCTATTTTTAGTGGTATGTTCAAAGTAATCGCACATCGGGAGCCAACAGAAAAAGTTATGTTTTTAGAGGTCATATTATAAAGTGATATCAATCTTTCAAAGCCTTTTAATTTCCCCTTTGTGTAGATCAGAAGATCAGTAGTAGCTGTTGTTATTCCTTTTGCAGTCCAGGATTCGACTCTATAAACTATTTTATTAGGTTTAAATTCACAGTCGTAGGCACACCATGCAAGTTTTATATATTCTAGTTTATGTTCTCTTCTTAACATATCCCAGATTTTCAGCTCCATGGATTTTGTGACATTTTAAGAGATTTGAGCCAAGTGTAGCTCCTTAAGATCCTTGTTGCATTTGCACGCAGAATATGTTGCTATTGAGACGACTGGTTAGTATATTTGATCAAATATGGCAAAACAGAGACTTTCTGTGAACTATGTAACATATAAGAATACAAAATACATGTAATGTTTATTAGCATTAGCTTCAGCTGTTCCCCAAACCGGCAGTACCACTTGCTAGAAAACGACGCGCTTATTGGCTGAAGAGAGAACATGCTTCCACCCTAGTGGCCGACTTTCACTGTCAATCATATTGTACGTCACACATCCGGATGTGTTTTCTTTAGCATTAGCAACAGTCATCAGAAACACAATTGTTTTCCCGTAACTGAGAAGTTATTTTCCGCTCTCTTACTTTTCTTCTTCTCGTCATTTGTCGTCGAGTCGTCTGACGGCGGCTGTGTTTCTTCTTTCTGCGTCTCTGTTGGGGACTCTGCAGTGTCAGACATCTTTGGTTCACCACTCCGGGTTACTTTATGGTTTCCAACCACCTCAACATTTGCTCAGCAGCGGCGGCTATTGGCGCAAAAGAAGCGTCAATCTCTACAGCTCGCAATACTATTGGTCAATAATCGCTCCCAGGAAGGCAGCGCCTGTCAAAGAAAGGCTGAAGCCGAAGTTGAACTCCGTGGTCTTCTTAGCTTCGTGCTAGGTTAGTTTTTATTTTTTACATCCGACTATAGATGCTAATATATTAACTCTTTAATAACAAATATACTTATTTATTATTAGTTAATATGATTACATATACGCAATTTTGTCTGCAATATTAAATTCGGTCGTTCTTTTTTCTATTACAAGTAAGACATGTAAATATTTTATTTGGTTTACACAGGCGACGTCACATGGGAAATAATACTTTAACCTGACAGTTAAAGTTTCTGCAGTCCCCTTCAGCCTGTTACCCACTACTCTCTACCTCACCTCTGGACTATTAAAGCAACAAGAGTAAGTGACATTTCTTATGCTTTAATTCGCTAAAACGAGCCATGATCTTAGCAAATTCCTTTGAGTCTAGCTGTTTTTGAGTTGTCACTGGTGCCTTTGTTATCAAAACAGTGCAATATCAAAGAAGGAAATAATGTCCTACAAGGAAGAAAACGCACCATTTTAGACTCATGCTGACAGGTTAGCTAGAGTCTACGATTGTCCAAATAATGGTTAAAGACTGCAACAAGCAGCTGTGCTACAGTTGTAAGCTATAAAACTTATAAAGTTTCACCTTTATAAATTTTACTTCAAATCTCTCTGATGATAGTACAAGATGGTATTAAATCTACCTGAATGCCTTCTGTGACCTTGCTCTTGTAGTGGCAAACATTGGCAGGCTCTCCACCAAGGATGCAGTGCTTTTCCTGTGCGATATGCAGGAGAAGTTCAGACCCAACATCTTCCAGTTCACCAACATTGTCAGCAATGCAGCCAGACTGCTCCAGGTTGGTTCTCCTCATCAGCACAGTTGTCGAGGATGAATAATTTGGAGAGTCTGAATCAGATTTGCCAGGTTTCTCCTCTTCTCTGACAGGCCAGTCGTATCCTGGGCATCCCCCCCATTTTGACAGAGCAATATCCTAAAGGTCTTGGGCCCACAGTACCAGAGCTGGGAGCTGAGGACCTAAAGGCCCATGCTAAAACTTCATTCACCATGATGATAGAGGAGGTGCAGAAGGAGCTGGAGGCCCTGGGGAACCCCAAACAAGCCATACTGTGTGGAATAGAGGCTCACGCCTGTATCGCTGTAAGACACAAATGGGATTCAGCATCTGCGCCGTTAAAACGAAACAAAATCTTTCCATTGACTTGGGTATTTTGAATAGAGTGACATTCAGTATCTGTTATTCTGAGCATACAATTATTCAATGAGGCACCAACTCTTTCATATTTTTCAAATGTATATTTTATATGCGAAGCATAGTTGTAGTTATCAGGAGACAATTATATGGAGACGTTAGTCTTCAACTGGATTCTCTAACATGCACAAACAATGCATGTCACATCAGTATGTGTCTTATCAGTTGTTCCACAAAAGAAGCAACAAGCAGTTTATCTGTGACCTGCAGAAATGACATAAATATAATAATTTAAGGTGCACTTGGATGCATGCAAGATATTGTATCTTTATAATGTCGGCTAAGTGTTAAGTTTTAATCACAAAAACAGAGTGGTGGAGGTAATGATGTTAGGTGATTATTAATTTATTACACTGTCATTAAGTAACATAAATATGTAATTTTGTAACTGTGTTTGACTGAGTTTGCAGTTTTAGTTGACAAATAGAAAACTTTCCTCCTTGTCTTTTGCTCAGTGCACAGCTTTTGATCTGCTCGAGAAGGGGATAGAGGTTCATATTGTAGCTGACGCCGTGTCATCCAGAAGGTATCGGTGTATTTGAACAGTATTTTTTCATTGCAGTAAGAGATGTCACACACACGGAATGAGTGTGCCTTGGGGAAGTTACATGTGCACTTTACTATAACGTTTTCACTTCCCTCCTCAGCCAAACGGATCGTTTGTTTGCTCTGTCACGACTGAAACAGAGCGGAGCATACCTCACCACCACAGAGGCTGTTCTGCTGCAGCTGGTTCAAGATGCCAAACACCCCAACTTCAAGGAGGTACCTGCTACAGATGCTTCCTGTCGCCCTCCTGACTCAGTATTGTTTAGCTTAGTTTATTCAGTCAATACATATTAGATTCCATAAACAGTTGGTGGTCAATGTACAAAACAGACACTGAACAGGCTTAACCCCCTAAAGAAAACCAAACAAAAAAATGAGCAAAATACACATTTCTGTGTTTATATCATCATTATTAAAGTAATTACACAATAACTACAATATTAACACAAATTCCTTTAATGTTTTTTTTAATCCTTTTCTTTGGTGAGAAAAAAGAAATACACTTCAATCTGTTGCCAGTAAACCTAATTAGTTGCAAAATGTTCCTCCAGCTGTTTTAATTCCAACCCTTTGTTTTCCCTCATCCCAGCTTTTTGGAGACAGTTTGCTATCATCAAATTCAAAATTACTTTATTCTTTTCTTGCAGTGATACAGCATGTCAGTTTAAATGTTTGATGATGTCTATGCTCAGACATGCATAAGATAATGTTTTGGCATTCAGGGGCTGAATAAAAAAAAAAAAAAGGGAAAATTCAAACAGAGCTAAACATTAAAGTCACACAAAACAGACAAAAACACAAACAAAAACCAGGTGCAACAGAAATGGCCCATGCACGCTCTCCCCCACTCTCTCACACACACAAACACACACACAATAAGCTGTTGTGAGTGGTAATAATTTGCGACTTATCCCCACTGACCTTTTGTTGTAAAGGGTGCAGCAATCAGACACCTGTTTTTGCGCGTGTGAACATGCCAAAATTTATACGATTACATGGCTAACCCACGTCGTAAACTGTGTTGACAGATTCAGAAGCTTCTGGCGCATCCGTCTCCTGACACCGGCCTCCTTGCTTTCTTCAGCGCTCTGTAAAGAGACCCATGTCCTACCATTGTGTCCCACTGTAAAGAGCTGTACCAATAAAGCGATGCTGCTACTTTAAATCTGCTCTGTGTGTGTTTGTGTATATGAATCAGACCCTTGTACCTTGCATAACAGCTTGGACTTGTCTTAGTGGAAAATTCAGGTGCATTATCTGTAACCAGAACCTGACAGGCAGAGAAAAGGCTGGTGAAAGAGTAAAGAGGTGGAACCAGCTCCCAGAGGCGGTGCATAGAGTGATATCACGCAGGAGGAGGAGTGAGTGACGTAATTCTGGTAAACCAGAAAGGGAGGGGAAGCAAAGAGAGGGAGGGAGAGCGAAAAAGGAAGCTGTCGGATAAGTTTTTTGTGTGTATATTTCTCCAAAGTTACACAAACTTTCACTAGCCGAAGGTATGACTGCAGCCCTGCGGGGACCGACATGCTGAGGACAGAGACCTGAAGGAGAGGACGTACAGCAGTTTGTTAGCAGCTGTGCACAGCTGATGACAACATAAGCCATTAACACTTCTGAAGGCCTTGGGCCTCGAGTGACCATACAGAGGTAAGTAAGTCATTCTTCCTTCTCAGAAAACAACACAAGTAGTTGGAATTGGCAAACATATGTACCTATAGTCATGCTATGGCTTTGCTGGTGAGTGGAAAGTTTCCTGAGCAGCACAAAGTGTCTTCTGTCTGAACTTACTGGTGTGTAATAGACGCTAGTTGGGAAGTACAGGAACAGGACTGCTGACACAGTTACAGGCAGAGGGAAATCCTCTGTGGGAGTGCTCAGTGTTTTGACTGCCTACTATATTCAGAGTAAGCAAAATGTAAAAAGACTTGTTGATCCAGTACTTTCTCTTCTGATCCTTCAGAGCCTGGACTGAGAAAAAAACAAAACAAACTAAAACTGAAAAATGTCCTCTGACTTGGACTCCAGTCTTACCAGTATTGACTGGTTGCCCCAGCTGGGAATCAGCAGCCTGCGCTCTGGGAAAGAGAGAGGAGGAGGAGGGGAGAAGGAGAAGAAAAAAGACAGAGGGAGGGAGAAAGGAGACTTTCTACCCTCAGTGCCGGACCCCTCCCCTTCTAACTGTAAAGGGAAACCCCCTCACAGCTATGCTACTCTAATCGCCATGGCAATAGCCGCTGCACCTGAGAGGAAACTGAGTTTAAATGACATTTACACCTGGATCAGTGACACTTTCCCCTACTACAGCCGGGTGGGCCGCGGATGGAAAGTAAGCTACAACATATTATCAGTGTGGGCGAGCAGTAATAATATGTCACTAAAGTGTAGTCAGTGTAACATCTGCTTTACTGGACATTCCTGACACATGTCATTCCCAACAGAATTCCATTCGACACAATCTGTCCCTTAATAAATGCTTCAGGAAAGTTCCTCGACCGCAGAACGACCCTGGCAAGGTGAGTTACTTCTACCTACTGTTGGAGTTTTCATCATTTGAGATTGATGACTGTTTAAAAAAAAGAGCATGAGTTCACAAACCTGTGGTGTCTTTCCAGGGTTCCTATTGGACAATGGATGGACCTTCAGACGGACATCAAGTGAGGGCACCTAAACGTTCCTATCCTGAAGAGGACGAGGAGAGAGAGGATGTATGTTTTTGGTTTTCGGGGTGTTTTTTTGTGACAAACCTTTATTCTCCACCTGTCAAATACATAATGAGACCACATAAAGTGCAAACACAGATGTAAATTATAGCCCATTAACGCTTAAAACTCTTAACCAAACCTCAAGCATGTGGCAGATTATTAAAACCGCCACATTTTTCTAATTATGCCATTATTTGCAATGTGTGAGAACATTAAGATGGACTAAGATATCAGTTTTGGTATGGCTACGTCCTATGAAAAGAAGTGTACCAATGTGCTTCCCCGGGTCTTTAAAAGTTCAGCTTCCGGGCCCCTCCCCAGTGGAGCCAACTCCCAGTTTGGATTTAGGAGACAAACAGCATCTCTAGTTTTAAGATTAGACTGAGCAAACTTTCTTTTTTGACAAAAGCTGAGAGCCAAAAGGGAGTTGGTTTCTTTTTTTGAAAGGAGGTAATTTCTGGCTGTAGTGGAGGTGCTCAGTCTTATTTAACATTTAATATATATATTAGCCTGCAGGATATTGACAACTTTTTTTTTGTTGCTGTTGAAAGTATTTATGCTGTGCTGTTACAGGTTCCTCAACTGCAGGAACTAAAAGCAGAGACGGGGCTCTCTCCTCGTCAGCCTCAATCAGCTTCACACACAGACCAACAGCTCTTTAACTCAGAGTCACTTGGAGGCATCCAGCAGCAGTCACCACAGTCTGCCTCCCTCTCTCCTCCCCCATGCAAAGTACAGTCACTTTCTCACTCCTTTTATAAGGTTTACTTTAATTAAACAACACCTTGCTCTTCATAACACCTTATTCTTATCTTTACAGCAACCATCTCCCTACATGCCCACCTCTGTCTCCAGTCTCCCTGTCCCTCATCCATCCGTCTCGCCATCAGCGGTGCTCCCACCTGCAGCCCCTATGTCATCCATCACTTCTTTCCCACCTTCTCACCCACCTGGCCCCACTTTCTCCATCCCCCCTGCTTCTGCTACACCTCTGGCTCCTGCCAACATGTCTACAGCGTCTCCAGCTGCTCCCTCCTTCTCTGACGCTGCGCTGTCTTTTCCTGTGACTTCAGACCCTGTGTCTGTTCCCGCTTTCTCCTGCGCGCCTGATCCGACAGCTGTTCCCATTTGCATCGTCTCGGGACCCAATCACTCATCCGAACTGACTGTCCCATCATCAGCCGTCGCCCCTCCCGTCGTTTCAGTAAACCCCCCTACTGATCCCTTGCTGCGTTTCACCTTTGACGAGCTCAACTTACCTGATCTGTATGCGTCTTTCAAGTCTCTGTTCAGGACAGTGCGCGAGAGGGGAGGCTCGCAGTGTAAGTGGCATGTGTGTATCTGTGTTTTGACTCTGTACAGTTTAGATTCTGCATAGATGGATTGAAGGAATTGCCTCTTTTCTTTCCAGCGGATATAGTTCCCCTGGTGATCCCAAATAATGACATTACCCCACTTCACACTCCAACTCTGCTACCCATGTCCCCCCATCCTGCAACCGCACAAATTGCTCCACCTGCATTGGCTGCACCAGCTGCACATCCTGCCGACACTGAGCGCATTTCACAATTAAGTAAGTCTCATGCGACTTTCTCAAACCAGAAATGCATAAACTGTATAAAAGTTCAATGCTTCTAAAGTTGCCTTCTTGCCTTCCACTTGTAGCGGTGCCAGCTGACTGGTTCAGTAACCCAGATTCTCTGAAGGAGAGTTTCCGCATTGCCAGCAACTTAGACTGGGCAAACATAGACCTCACTGGTCACCCAGGTCTGTTTTGTTCTTGTTTAAATGGGCACATTAATCAATCATCAGGGTTCATAGATCTGTGGAGTTTAGAGTCGTGAGGACATGAGTAAAAATGTTTAATCAGCCAGTTAATAGAGTGATTGGAATTCAGTCATTTTGATCATTAATTCATCATTTAATTTAATCATTATTATTATTATTATTTATTTAGTCTTTTCTGGTTTCACCTTTATCTTTGTCACATGTAACACTGAAGTATTTAGTTTTGTATTTTGGAGTGATGGCTACATAAAGCGAGCAGTTAGAAGATTTCACAGCAGGCCTGTAAAAAGGAGATTAGGCAATTTTTCAGAAATGATCAGCTGATTAGTAAAAGTAATTATTGTCCTAGATTACAGTCCTCTTTCACTGCGACCATTTACATGAAATAGTGGTTAAACACAGACATGTTTCAGTGCTACGTACATTGGCAGGAAAACAAAAGATTGCAAAGAGTCCTCTGAAAAACCATGCACACATTTACAACTTCCATAGGATAAATATCATCCCTACACTTTTAATCAAATACACTTGATTAACTGATCCTAATCAAACATTCAGTCAATCTCACAAACTTCCAAGAAGTGGATGTCCCAGCAAATCCCCCCCCCCCCCCCCCCCCCCCCCCCCCCCCCCAGGTGCAAGACTCAAGAACTCTGAGAACTACATCTCAGGCTCTACTGGCCTCAGGATGTTAAATGTTAAAGTTCACGGCTGTAAAATCTGAAAAACACTGAACAAGTATGGCTTGTTTAGAAGAGCTGCCAGGAGAAAGAGTCTTCCCTCTAAAAAGAACATGACAACTCAGCTTATGAATGAAGAACCAAGGTTCAGTCAGACTTCAACCTGACTGAAAGGCTGTTTCATGTTAAATGGCTGCTGTGAAAAATGGCTGTCTGCAGACTGTGTGCAAGTTATTATTAAGCCAAGAAACAAGAGTTGTCGTAGCTATATTCCTCCAGTGTTTTTATTGTCATTTGGGCGGCCTGACTCTTTAGAAGTTAGACAAGCACATCATGCACACTAAACAATCAATCCAATCCATTGAAAGCTTTTCTGTATTTTGTAAAGAAAGGCCTGTGATGTTTCATATTGTTCTTAAAAAGCCACAGACTGGACCTTCGTGCTCTGATCTGCTGTTTCATTTTATATTTGCAGACCTTGTTCAGAGCATGAGACAGGCAGAGCTCTGCGACTGGGCTCTGGACCCGGCGGTCTTCACTTCCCTCTGCGACTCTCTGAACCGCTTCTTCACTCAGAAAGGCATGATCACCCCTGGGAATAACTCCCCTGTAGCCCCTGGTGCCCCTCAACCCTTACCAGCCTTTAACTTCAACCCACCCCCTACCCTCTCCAGCCTCACTCAGCCCTCACCCCTTCCCTACTCTTCAATAGCTCCCCCTGCCAATGGTGCACAACCACCGCGGCGGGCTCTGCCCATGCAGGGACCAGGTCTTCAGAGACCACAGCTAACACAGCCTGCAAGCACAGCCGGTGAGACCTGGACTTAAAAACATATTTTCTTCTTTACTTTTATGAAATAAGACAGGATGGGTTCATATTTTCCCCAAGCCTGTTTTAGAATAATCTTCCAGATCAGTGACATGTTTCTGCTATGAGAGCTATTTATGGAAACACTGAATTAAAAACAGTTTTTCTCCTAAGATTGAACAGAAAT